TTAACATTTCTATATTTTTTTTAAGGTTATTTAAATTTCAATTAATTATAAAAAACTCAAACTATAATTTAATAAAAATATAATTATTAATACATAATTAAAATATTTATTAATATTTATAAATTTAATAACAAACTTAATGTATTAAAATATTTACATAAACTATAAAAAAAATAATTAAAATGTAATAAAAATTAAAAAATAATGTAATAAAGTCATTTAAAACATTATTCAAAATTAAAATGATAATAATATAAATTAAAACATTAAACAAAAAAAACTGGAAAGCAAAACCCTAGAAATCGTAGAACTAAGTCGCCATTTGGTCCGACGAATGGGCTTTTTTTTTCACTGAGTCGCCACAGCAATTGGCGAATTGGTTTACGGTCAAAAGTATCTTTCAACTAAGTCGCAATTTCAAATACACATAAAAGAGTAGTAAACACCATCTTAGAATAAAACATCCGAATATTATTAATTTAAATATTATCTACACCATATCAAATACACATAAAAGAGTAGTAAACACCATCTTAGAGAGACATTGTTAAAAGTGTTTATACAATCACCATCTTAGTTCTTTGAAGCATTTATTAGAAAAGTTTCATAAACACCACCAACTTATATTGATACCTATGTATTTCTCAGGCCAAATCAAGTTTATATTAAAATTACTTTATTTTTTACATTTAATTTCCAATCAGTTAAGTTTTAGGGAGACTAATTAATTAGATAATAATAAACAATTTAAGAATATATTATTAATTTTAATTATTTAAAGATTATAAAAATTAATTAGGAAGTATTAAATTTCTAAATCGAGTAATAATTAGGCCTAAAGGGGGTAAAGGAGAAACTTTTACATTGCAGCAGTTGCAAACTGCTCGCAATGAATATGATGAGGAGGCCACATTTATTTGTAGACAAGGCGGCAACATAACTCTATTGATTGTGAATACTATGTGATAAAAAATATATTGGATATTGTCTCTGCCAATATAACCGAGTCTTGGATGCATGTAATAAAAATAACTTTACTTTGTTATTTACTTTGCAATTTACAACTTAATGTGAATTTTTAAAGAATAACTTTATATTATTATTTGCGTATTGTATGTATTTGATGATCCAACAGAATTAACACAAGATGATTTGTATTATTTGCGACTCTGTTGGGCAACATGTTTCTTTGAGTTATATAAAAATTAACATTTATCTAGTGAGTTATATAGAATTGTATATATATATATATATATATATATATATATATATATATATATATATATATATATATATATATATATATATATATATATATATATATATATATATATATATATATATATATATATATATATATATATATATATATATATATATATATATATATATATATATATATATATATATATATATATATATATATATATATATATATATATATATATATATATATATATATATATATATATATATATATATATATATATATATATATATATATATCTGATTTGAGTTTCTTGACTTTGGTGTTGTCAGCTGATGTTAATTGGTGTTATTATTTATTGTCAGCAAATGTGATTTTGGTGTTGTCTACTGAAGCTACGACTCATCTTCTTGTGGATTGCATGTTGGTAATTCAAGTATGGGAAATAACTTATAAATGCTTGTATACTTTTGTATGTTTTCACTGGTTTTGTTGTTGTAGTAGTCCACCGTGTAAACATACTTATAATTTTCATTACCAGAAAAACCTTGTATAGCTAGGGGAATTTGCTAGGGGTAAACCCCCTCACTAAAAAAACAACATTGTTTGGGGTTAAACCTCTCGCAATGCACAAAGTATTAAAAAAAAAATTATATAAATCAAACACGTGGGGCAACCCTTTGCAAATATGGGAAGAAAAAAATGTGAATTTTGAAATTGTAAATTGTTAAGGGTAACTCCTCACAAAAAAGAAATAACGCCAAAATGTGCTGACAAATATTGTCATTTGCGAGGGAATAACCTCTCACCAATTATATTTTTTCATTTTGCTAGAGACAACCCTCACCACTTGTTATGATCAAGTCAAATCTGTCATAAAAAACATTTATTCTAGTTGTTAAAGTCTGCTACATGACAGAAAGGTGCATGCAACACTTCAACATTTTCTAGGGGTAACCCCCCACTAATTATATTCAGTCATTTAGCTTGGGGCAGCCCCTCGCCAGTTCATATCATAAATGCAGGTTCCTTATTCTTTTCCAGACACATTATTTTCTCTCTCGTTTTTCTACTCTCTCATTTTTCTGCTCTCTCTCCTAATTTTCTTCTCACTCTCTCATTTTTCTTCTCATTAGCCACCCTTCTTCTCTCATTTTTTCAGTAAAAACAACTTCCATCAAACATCCCCTTACTTCTTCTTTCAAATATTCTACCAATCTAAAATTAGGTAAATATTATTGTTTTACTATCATTTGTTTGAATTTATAATTTGCATTTACTAATTAACTTTTTTAGTTTCTGTGTTGCATGTATAAATATATTTATATGAAGGTGTTAAATTTCTTAAATTCTTATTTCTTAAATTTTTAGGATTTATACTATAATATTTGTTAGAATAAAACTGAAATAAATAGTATAGATATGTTTTTGTTGTTTATATTATTTAGTATATAAATATGTAAATGTTGTTTATAATGTATTGTTATAAATATATGTATATTTTGTTTATATGTGTTATTTATAAATATATGTATATGTTGTTTATATTATTTTGTGTATAAATATAAAAAATAATATTTTTTTTATGTATTATAGTAATATATTTATAGAAAATATTGTTTAAAAAACAAATTATATTTTAATATTATTTATAAAATATGTAATATATTTTTGAAATATATTTATAGAAAATATGAATTGAATCTTATAAAGATCAGGTTATATTTAATATATATATTTAAAAAATATGTAAATTTGTAAGAAAAAAGTATATATTTATTTTGAAAACATTAAATATATATTAAATATTTTTATAAAATAATATTTATAAAATTAGTTTAAGAAACATATTATATGTTTTTATAAAAGAATAGATTATATATTAATATACACTCTTTATTTAGAAAGTATGATTTAAATCATAAAACATATATTGTGTAATATATTTAGTAGTATGCACTTTTTAGAAACTATATAATTTGTAATATAGTTTTGTTATATATTAATATACACTTTTTATTTAAAAAGTATACACTTCTTAAAATATTTATATATTTTAGTAATATATTTATAGAAAATATGAATTAAACTGTATGAGAATATGATTATAATTTTTTTATTATAATATTTAGGGGTTAAACTCCTCCCAAAGTCTAAATTGTAAATCAATTTGCTAGAGATTTTATCCCTCGCAAACGTCTGACACAGTTAGCTAAAGGCTTTACCCCTCACCAAATGTAAAACGCAGATGCTTTAGCTAGGGGTTTATTCCCTAACAAATTATCTGACATGTTTGTGCCACTCTGTGTCACTAGTTTGCTCTTATGCCTGCTGTATAACAAACTTAATTTTGTGAGTTACAATTTGCGAGGGACTTACCCTAGCTAAATTTGTGAGGGGTTTATCCCCCAGCCAAAAATTTGTAATGCCCTGATGAGTTATGGGTCATATCCCTTCGCAAATTTATGTTTTGTGATGAATTTTTTGCTTTAGTGAGGAGTTAAACCTCTTGCTAAATACAGTTTTTCTTGTAGTGTTTGTACACTAGTGTGTATCCTAGATTAATACTTTTGTAAATCACCTTTTTGAATAATATGTGCATCCTAGCTATTTGGTGCAATTAAATTAACAGGTTGGTTGCAAAAATATGAAAAGTTAGATACCAGCTAGCGAATTAAATGCGGTCCGTGTGATGTTGAAAAAATATGAAAAATTATGTAGCAAAAATATTTACAGGGATTTCACCTCGATTCCGCTAAAAAATAGTCTAATTTTTAAAGAAAGATAGCATACATATTAAATTGGACGCGCTTTACAACCGATGTGACAACCTACACTTTACATCGGGTCAGAAAGACAACCGATGTAACATCCTACATTTTATATCAGATCAGAAAGACAATCAATGTTAAATGTGCATTTATTTATAAATAAATAAAAATTAAATTCATATTTCACATCAGACCTAACAATAAACAGATGTAGTAGGTGTATTATTGTTTGATGTAAAATTCTTTGATTTACTACATCGTTTGATTTTACATCCGACCTAGATCCGATGTAAAATGTGTTTTTTGCCCAATATAAAAGTCTTTTCCTACACTAGTGATTCAACATATTTAAATACAATTCTAATATGTGACCGACTCAATGTCTTCAATAAAAGGAACATTAAAATTGCATATAAGTGTGTCATTTATCATATTATGTTTGCAAACACACATTCATGAAAAAGCATCATAGTTTCTTCTCTAAACTTAATAAGAAATCCTAAATACATGAGTCTTACCCATCCTTCGATCTCTCATGCAAAAACCTATCATTTACACATCAAGTCTCTCCTAAATCGATAAATCACCAAAGCATTTTCAACATGTTTGTAGTAAAACATTCATCCATGCAGAAGCAACATGTCCCACAACTTGCTCTCCAAATTTTAAATCTAAAACTTAGTAAACTGTGACGATCCAATCTAACCCTAAAGATATATCTCTTGAGAGATTTTCACTTTATTTTGGATTTTTCAACAATGTGATGCCTATAATTTTATCATCATTCAATCAATATTATTTTATAAGATAAAAAAAAACATCTAAGCAACATGTCCCACAACTTGCTCTCCAAATTTTAAATCTAAAGCTTAGTAAACTGTGACGATCCAATATAATCCTAAAGATATATCTCTTGAGAGATTTTCACTTTATTTTGAATTTTTCAACAATGTGATGCCTATAATTTTATCATCATTTAATCAATGTTATTTTACAAGATAAAAAAAAAACATCTAAGTTTATCAACTATCTACAAACGTCTTAATGTCCTCAACCAAATGCCGCACAATAGAAATAAAAGGGTTAACATTTTCCATAGCATGAAACCCACGCTCACGAAAATAAGACACCACGTGCACCCCACGTGCCTTCAAAATCTTCACCAACTCCTTTTGTTTCTCCACCACGGGATCCCCACAGCGGTCCATATAATCACCCGGTCCTGGAATAACCCAATCGTATCCATTAACGAAACACCTCGGCAACCGTCCGATCTTCTCACCATATACTCCATCTGCAACCGTTGGATTACAGTACACGTGGTCGCGATCTGCGCCCTCAGGCAAAGACAGGTTCCACATGAGATCAGCCACAGGTAAGGGTAATACATGAGCGTTGATCAAACAAAGCTCAGATTCCGTTCTTTGGACCCCACCGAATAACGGAGAGTTTAATATCAGCCCTTGGATTTTAACAGGTGAGAGATCGAGATCGAGACTACGCAGACCTGCGAAGTAGGCGATGTTACCTCCCGCGCCAACTCCCATTACGAAACAGTTATTGAAGTCGACGTGGTTTTTAATCCATGGATCAGATTCATTTGGATTTTGCGCTTGGGATTTGAGCCAGAGAAGAGAATCGACGGCGTCGTCGTAGGCGGCGGGAAGACGATGCTCCGGCGAGAGACGGTAGTCAACGGAGGCGACAACAGCGGGGATTTCGGAGGAGTATAAGGAACATGATTCGTGGAAGATAAGGGAGGAATGGTGGTACAAGACGAAGCCGCCGCTGTGGAAGTATAGAATGAGGGGAAGTTTTCCGGGAGGTGGTGGAGTGTGTGGGATGAAGAGACGTATGGAGGTTTTAGCGGCGTTGTTTATGGTTATGTCTTTAGAGTGAGCGAGATCCGACTTGCTGGGATCGGTGGATGGTACTGAGGTGGGGACAATGTCGTATCTTGTTAAGGAACCGTCTGAGTTGAGTTTGATGTTGAGAAATTCGTAGGGATCAACGGTGGATTGTTGAATATTGGAAGATGATGGTTCCGCCATTAGGGTTGAAATGTTTTGAGAGAAGAATGAGGGTGATTTAGAGTCAATATATATGCATGTGTTGCAAACAGTATTCTGTAGTGATTTTTGAATACGGGGAGTAGTACACAGTAATCTTCGGTGGTTTTTGCCATATATGTTTTGCACATAATTTTTTGTGGTTTTTTCCTAAAAAGTGGTGATCTTTGCCATATATATTTTGCACATAGTAAACTTTCGTTATTTTTGTCATATATGGTTTGCACACAGTAATTTACGGTGGTTTGTGAATCCAACTCCTGCAATATACTATACCAACTTAAGATTAATGGAAGATCTTGCTTAAAATTTTAAAGGTAGCCGCAAGTATCAAAATGTATGAAAAAAATCTAAGTGTTCCTTTTGATTAATATGTCAAACAATTTTTTGATTATTCACATATTTTTTACAATAAATTTTTTCTAAAATACTTCTCCGACTATCAACATTCAAAATAAAGATTAACAAGTATTATTTTTCAAATTTTATTGCATTTTAACATTTTTTTCCTTCAAAGTTTTTAGAACATATGAATGGGTGGTCATCCGAGGATTTCTTGCATCTTTAGATTCAAGCATGATCTAAATATTTTTAGGTAAAATACTATACAATCTCTCAAATACGAGCTTTGTAAAAGCGAGATCCTTTAGATGAGAGAATGTAATGTACATTGTCTTTCAAGCACGAGGTCTATCACTATAAAAAAAACTTCAATTTGTCAGGTGAAAAACAATTCGCAACCCCTTTCCCAGAGTTCAGAGCAGATAACACGCAGAGCAGAGCTGCAGAGCAGCTTTTCAAAGTAAACAGGCAGAAAGTTGCGAGGTGAATTTCACCCGGCAAAAATTTTGTTCTTTTAAAAAAAATATTTCCTTTTTTTTAAAATTTTAATATCCTGTTTTCTAAATATAATATTAATAATAATATTTTGTTTTTAAAAAATAATATTTTCTATTTTAAAAAAATAAAATTATTTTATTTTTAAATATATAATATTCAGTTTTAATAATATATTACTGTTAGCTCTCATTTTCGACGCCAGCGAAATCAGAATTATCCTAAGTTAGAATGTTATTCAAAAAACATATGAAGGTTTCGACACAACTTTGAGGAAACCTGAGGCGAAGAAAGGTTGACAAAATTTCTAGAAAAATGCTAAGTATTGGAGAAGCTTTCGACCAAGATCATGCTAGAAGGAATGCAGAGCAGTTACCATGAAGGATGGAGGGAATTCTTAGTGTCTAAGTTTCAAATTGATAGTGGGCGAACGTGGGAGCAGTTGAAGTTGTAAAAAAGCGCCAAAAGGACACGTTGAGAGGCCATAACCGTTATGTAGTAGTTACTTACTAGCATTATAAATAGTTGTTATTTTTATGTAATAAAGGGGTGTTCATTCATTTGGTGCTAGTCACTCCAAATCACTCAAAGTACCCGCGTGTAGAGAAACGAATTAGCGAGAAATGTACGTGATACAACACCAACTCCTTTTCATTAATACAATTTACTTGTCTTTACCATTTATGCGCTGTTACTTATTCTGCGTTTTAACTTTCATCCTTTACGTTTAAACTACCTTTTCAAGCCCTTTTTGCAACTTTATTTTCAGCTACGTTTCATGCCATTTAACGTTCTGCACTTTACCTTAACCTGCAAATTTAACGTTTCACGCGTTTACTTTCAAAGATCTCATATTCGAACGTGGAGTTCAGATTATAGTCTTTTACACCTTTATTTTCAAAGTCATTTACCTTCACACACATTTACTTTCAAAGATCTCATAGTCGAACGTGGAGTTCAGATTAGAGTCTTTTGCACCTTTATTTTCAAAGTCATTTACCTTCACACGCATTTACTTTCAAAGATCTCATAGTCGAACGTGGAGCTCAGATTAGAGTCTTTTGCACTTGTATTTTCAAAGTCATTTACTTTCAAAGTCCTTTATTTTCAAAGTCATTTACTTTCAAAGCCCTTTATTTTCAATGTCCTTTACACTACTGCATTTACTTTCGACATTTACTTCTAAAGCATTTACATTATTGCACTTTTACATATTGCCTTTAATCTTCAAGTCATTTTTACTTTACAAAGATTTCACAGTCGAACGTGGAGTTTAGATTAGGGTCTTTTGCACGTTTAACACATGTTCTAAGATTTATTATGGTCGATCCTACAAGTTACTCAATTTTACCCTAAATTGATAGACCAGTGTTTGTTTACCAAAATTCACATTAAACAAATTGGCACACCTGGTGGGACCCAATGCTAAGTGTTGCGGTGGAAATAAGATATCAAACTATTACTTAGTTTGAATCACAATTCTTAATTCACAACCGTTCTTTGATTTATCCGAAGGAAAATATCAAAAGAAGGAAAACCTATTTTTGCATCGTAAACACAATGCGGGGATAGACCTAGGTAAGGGGTTGGTTAAGCTTAGGGAAGGTACTAGCACCCTAAACTTCTGTAGTACACTACAGAAACCTTTTGTTTATTGTATGCCTTTCTTATTTTATTATCTGCTTGATGTATATATACTGAGCTAAGGGATAGAGTGACCTAAAGAGACCTAAGGGTTATTCCTAAGTTTACTCAGCAAGACATCGCATCTTGTGCCTACATATCTTGACGGGAATGGAACCAGAGTAATTGTAGTTCCCCTCGAAAGGGAGGTTAGAAACTTCTTGACTGTGGTCAAGGTTTCAAGGGGAGTAAACGTTTCTTAAGGAAAACGCTTACGTGGAGTCTTAAAACTCCTATTTCTACGTTGAAGTTATTAATTGAAATTAGGGTTAAAATTAGGGATTCCACGGCGGGAAACCCTAAAACAGAGTACGGCAACTCTTTGACCTAAAATCTAGGGTAAAGGGTATTTTCATCCACGACAGGACACCTAGGCTATTAGGGTTTTGGAAATGGACAAGGGTTAGAACTATTGACTCAGCGGTCAAACGGCTAGACCTAGTTCCTTCGGAGGGTGATTAACGGTAAAAAAACATGCAAGATATAGCAAATTATCATACGGCAGAAATAAAGTGCGGGAAAATAACGAAAGCGGTAAAGAAAGCATCGCGACGACCACTCGTGTAAATTACAAATCCCAAAACAAAAGCGAAAATAAAAACTGCGATCATGGCCTCGCATAAATTACATCCATGAAACCAAAACAGTATGAATAAATGAAACCCACTATAAACTAAATAAAACAAAAACAAACTAATTATAAGTTATAAAAAAATATTTTTTAATTATGAGTTTTATATTTGTTTATTATTTTTTTTAAAGGTTTTGGTTAATTTTAAATAAAAATAGTTTTAATTTTAGAAGTGATTTTAAATTTTAAAAAGGTAGTCTAAATTTGGAAAAAATGTTTTTAAAAAAAAAGTTGTAATTTTAGAAATTTTTTTTAATAAAGCTTTGATGTACATTAAATTTGAATACTAAATAAAAAAATTTGATTTACATTCCATTTTAACAAAACTTTGATTGGTATTAAGTTTTACTAAAAATTTTAATTTACATTCAATTTTAATAAAACTCTTGATTTGCATTAAGTTTTACTAAACGTGTTAATGAGAAATTTAAATTACATTTAAGTTTAGTTTTTTTACTTTTTCTTTTAATTTTGAAAAGAAATAGTTTTTAATTTAGAAATTTTTTTTTGAGTTTTAATGCAAAGGTATTAAAAAAAATATATTTTTTTAAAAAAAGTTTCTTTTAATGTTTTTATAAAAAAAGAGTTTAATTTTTTTATGAAAGAATAGAGTTTTTTAATTTTATTTTAAAAAAGTTTTAAATTTCATGTTTTAAATTAAAAAAATGTTCTTTTTAAATTTTGTATTTTAATTTTAATAATAAAATAAAGAAAAGGTTCGAATTTTATATGAAAAAGTTTTGAAAAATTCTTTTTATGCTGAAAAAGTATTAGAAACAAAACTTATTAAAAAAAATGTGAAATTTAAATATGGAAATGGATTTGCAATTAAACCTTTTAAACTTAAACGCATTTTAATTTTGTATTACATTTATTAATCCAAATATAATCATTATTAATAAAACCTAAAATACTAAAATGAAACCTAGATTAATTAATCAATTAAAATAAATAAAAAAGAAAAGAAAGAAATGGATACTAAAAGAATAACACAAGACATAATAGCCTGTGAGATTTTGATTTCATCATTTCCTATCCCTTCTTCTTCCTTCCACTCGCCCGCGACCATGGGTGGTTTTTTTTGCTTTTCCGATTTCGCTTTCCTTTGAGCTTGCATGTTCCTATCCTGAAACCAAACACTCAAAATCAAACGAAATAATACAATACCCTTCCATTTAGCTTCAGATCCACTAATGAAAGTGACGAGGCTCGACGCTTGCTTGATGTTTGCTTGATGTTTTCTTCTATTTGAGATGGTGATGAAGCCGAGGATGAACGGTGGTTCTGAGGCTGGACGGTTGTAGCTGGTGTTGAAGCTCTATCGGCTCCGCGCGCCGCCGTCGTCGGTTATTCCGTCTGGGGTTCTTCGGAAGAACTTCCTTTCTTCTTTGGATCGCGGTAATGATGACGAAACTCGAAGAGTTTCTCTGAACTGCCGTTTTTCCGTTTCGTCCCTAGGGTTCCCTTTGATTTGAAGCTAACGATCCTTATATATGTTCTTTGGATTTGTTATATTGTGGGCTTTTCTATGATTTTGCAGCATTTTTCGAAGACCCTTGTTGGTATCTTAACCGAGCTTGTTGCCTGGGTTTTACGGATGATCCGTTTTGATTTTGTTGCAAAGTTTGTTTTTGTCGCTTCTTTACTCATTGTGCTGCCGATTTCGTTCACTTTCATGGGCTGTTGGTTGTTGTTTGAGCTCGCGAGAATGCTGTTGCGTGGATGTTGTTTCAACCTATTTGTTGGATTGGTGAACTGGTTTTTTCTTTGAACTGGTTTTCGGAACTTGAACTGGTTTGAATGTTGAACTGGTTTGAATGTTGAACTGGTG